CTGTGCCACTGCCTCCCCTCCTGAGCTCACTAGCGCCACCCCTGTCACCGTCCTTAGTCAGTTATGTTGGTCTCAGGTTCCAAGCCCTCCATTGGGTCACTCTCCCTTTCCCTGCCATCACTTCCTCCTCTTCTCTCCCCTCCCCATCGTCTTCTTTTCCTCATTTTCAAATCATAGCCAAGACCAGTCTGGGGAAGAAGGCAAAGAGCTTCTCCAGAGGCAGCCCCTCCCACCACCACCACCCCCCCAGATGCCCCAAGCCTGCAGCCTTCTGTGCACAGTGGATCTTGGTGTGTGTGTGGGGGGGGCAGGGGCAGAGGGAGGGATTGCACTCAAATCAGTCTGTGGCCTAGAAAACCCCAAGGCTAAACAGGAATTGTGTGGACTAAGCTACAGTTGAAAAGGAAAGCCTGGAGACAGTGTGGGGCTTCCCATTTGAAAGAATGCCATACTGAAGAGCCACCTACTCACTCTTCAAACACCAAAAGCATACCAGCTGTCCCCATTTTCATGGAGAATAGAGGCAGAGGCTATGGGATTATGTGAGTCATGGTCTACACAACCCCATGTCTGCCCAGGAAGCAGGTGCCAGACTGTCACTTGAGCACTCACTGTGGCATCAACTTACGTGCCCGTATCACATCCTTTTGTGCTCTGTTTTTCAAAGAATCAATTATATCTTTGTGGGTTTTTGATTTTTAGTTGTCATACACAAAAAACAATTTAAAACTGCAAACGGTAAAATATGAGTTTTAATGAACTCACTTTACCCACTAAGTCCCAACTCTTCAACTCTGCAAATAGTGCAACGAAATTGACACAGATGCAAAGTGACCATAAGTGGTATCTTTATTGCTCCATTTACGTTTTCATAGGTGTCCTCTATAGGGACGATGGGACATAATGGGTTAAGAATTCACTGGGACCTAGGTCCTTTATGAAAAAATGCCTGGGTGACAGAAGGATGTGAAGATGGCTGGGAATTATCATGTAGGCAGATAGTTCAAAACTTGATAAGGCCTGCCTGACCAAAGTCAGAATAGGTACTCCTAAGAAAGCCAGAACTCACTCTCTCTGCGAATGTAGAAATACATTTATATCTGTAAATTATATTTGTAAGTACAATGGAAGTTAAAACACAAGGCTGAGTGGGAGGGCTCTTTCCCATGTTCGTGTATGTCTAGGCTGAAAGGAAATAAAGCAATTAAGCAAAAGAGGAAATACAGGAAGAGTTCTTGCCCTGGGTAGGTCTCCACTATTTTGACATGAACATACCCAGCAATGAGAAGATCAAATTTAGCCAGGTTCAGGATTCCCCCAAAAAACAAAGCACACCCCCCAGCTGACAGCACCAAGGCCAAGAGCGACCAGGATGCTTTGTTACAGACTGGAACTGAGGGCTTCCGTCTCCGGGGGTTAGCTTTCTCCACTGGAGCACACTGCCAGGGAGTCCACCCAAGAAAAAAGGGGTAAATTCCTGAGGAAATAATTCTGCATTGCACTGATGAACTGAGGAATTTAAACGTTTTAAGCAGGAAATAATTAATTAGGTCAATCTGGCAGGATGAAAGTGATTACAGTTTCTCAAAAATGTTTGAGTCAGAGAGACAGAGTCTCCCATATGCTGGTACACTCCCCGAATGCACCCCCCCCAACACAAGGCGGGGGACCAGGAACTCCATCTGTGTCTCCCTTGTGCGTGGCAGGGACCCAAGCACTCGAGCCATCACCTGCTGCCTCCCAGGGCGCACATGAGTAGGAAGCTGAAATCCCAGGCACTCCGATAAACTGCTGTGCCAAATGCCTGCCCCACGGTTATTGAAAATGATGACTTAAAGGCTATGTAGCAACATGGCATATGCCCATTACATAATGTTAAGTTGGACCAAACAGGGCACAAAATCAGAGAGGTTACCGTGGTGGTTACACCTGAGTGTAAACAGCAGTTCTGTGGCCTTAGGTTAGGTCACTCAACCACGCTGACCCCAACTTCACTGTCTCCAAAGGAATAAGGTTCCTATCTTGTAGAGGGCTGTTGGGAGGCTAAGAGAATGAGTGTGACGACGCCTGCATGTGGCCGTGCAGAGATGTCAGTGGCAGCCACTGACCCTGCCGTGGCCGTATGGTGAATTCTGAAGATGCTGCACGGGGACTGGAAAGCGACGTGCAGAAATGAGAACCGCAGCAACACGCTGGGTGGAGGTCGTCAATGTGTGCTTTAGTCTCCTCTGATGACGTTCAGTCATTTTCCAATAAGAAAAAGTCCCTGGCTCTTCATCCCCACTGTCTTCCCTCCAGGGGCCCAGGGCTTCCTGTGGCCAGCTCCTAACGCTGCCGAGGCATCTGTCAGTGGAGAGAGTGAACCTGGACCCCCAGAAAAGATGGGGGATGAAGAAGACCCCAGAAGGGCCCATCTGGACCAGGTCAGACCCTGCGAGAACTCTGTAGCCACAGCTGCGATAGGGTCATTCATTCACGCACACATTCGCTCACTCATCTGTACATGTTTCCAAACCATTATTTTTACAAGGAACCTATGCTAAGAGCTTTGAAGGAACTACCCTGACCCAGGGCATCAGTGTGAGATAATCTCCAAAATACTATGTAAGTGGGAAAAAAAAAAAGCAAGCTTCAGAACACTGTGTAGAGAATGCTACCATTTGTATTAAAAATAGATATATAAATATACATATTTATAAACTTGTAAATGCATAGAATCGCTCTGGAAGGATACACAAGATAGGGATAACAGTGATTAATTCTGACAAGGGGACTGGAGATGACTTTTGTACTGCTGAGTGTCTTACCAGGTATATGCTGTGAGTTTTCCAAAAACAAACAAACAAAAAGTAAAAGAAACTGCCTGGTGCTGAAGACACGGTGCTGAACAGGGCACAGGTTCCTCAGGCTCGGGGAGGGCCAAGTGTGGAACCTGCTGAGCCGCAACTGTGAGGTTTTTTTTTTTTTTAAAAAGAAAAATTAGACTGTTTACAGAAGGGGAAAGTTCTCCCTACAACAATTAGCATATAGTAATTCAGCATATCAGTTTACAAAGATAAAGCAGTCAGAAAATAAATACTAGTCATTTGTGAAGCCTTCGAGCATATTAAACTGTAGTTTCTACAAGGGCAGGATCTTATCTGGTTAACTTCATCAGCAGAGCCTTCACGGCAGCATGACGTGCGGGTAAGTGCTTGTTCCAGCAAGCACTGTCTGATGACGACACATGATAACACAACCATTAAACAACAGCTCGAAAAAGAAACCTGAACACACTGGGCTCTGAGGGAGCCGTGTGCTCCTGCGCAGGTTTAGGCAGCCTTGGCCGGACGGTCTTCCCGTGGCAAGATGAACCCCAATGAGAAAGAAAGGGTGCAAAGATGCTGTCCTACACTTCAGGGGCCTCCCTTGGGGTGATGAGGCGCGGATGGACCCCAGAGAGAATCTGGCCCTTGTGCGGTACCCGGTGTGGGAGGAAGAGTAGCCAGGCCGGTGGCCAGCCTTGCTCACTAAGGCAGCATAGTAGGGGGCGGGCTTGGCGCAGTGAGGTCCCTTGGTTTTCTTCTCTGTAAGACAGAGGGCAACTGTGAACTTTTGAGGACCGAATGAAAGAATCAGTAAGGAAGCGTTCAGCAAGATGCTGGGCACATGAGCAGGGCTTCAAATGCTGTAACCATCGCTAGTACAAAGTAACGGGCAGGGGTGCCAGGCCAACCCAGCAGGCATTGGGCACCGCGCTCCATGCATGCCCTACGGCCCAATAAAGAACCCCCACGTTCCCCATCTCAGGCGGGTTGCAAAGACTAGTTCCATTTTGAAGGGAAGGGCTGGTGAGGTCAGTGGGTTCGCTCAGAGCTGGTCCAGGGCAGACCCCAGGCCGTGAGCCAGGTTTCCCCAGAAGTAGCTCAGTCTCCTTCACCCTGCACCGCTCCGGGAAGGAGAGATGTGGTCAGACCCGCGGTGTTGCCCACCACAGCCCGGCTCCAGCTACCACTGTTCTGAGCAAGAAGGAGTTCAGCTGTCTGTTTCAAACCCTCCTATCAGCGTCACTAGAACCTGTTCCTGTGAAGAGATCCAGGGTACAGGGCTGACCCCCGCAACTGGAATTGGGGAAGGGACCACAGCTAAGTCGGGGCTCGCTCTGGCTTTCCAGGCAGCTGCAAGTCGGCCCGGCATGCCCTCACTACATGGGAAGCAAGGCGGCGGCAGCCTTGCCACTAACATGGTGCAGCCAGCCAGCCAGCATCGCTCTGCAACCAAGGCAAGCACTAACCTTTCCCCACTAGCATTTCCATTAGCATTTCCATTAAAAATCTGGCATTTGATAGAGGGAAAAATGCAATTTTTTTCCAATTGGGAAAAGGTCATGCATATTTACCTGGCTTAATTTTTAATTGACATTCAGTGCTTCCCTTGAAAGAGCACCTCTAAGACCCCAGCCAGCACCCAGTCCTCTCCCCAGCGCTGGATCCTGCTGGGCCCAGCACCATGCACCTGGGTCTGAGGTCAGAGCACAGGACAGCCCCAGCCTGCTCCTCGAGCCTGGACAGGCCCTAACTCTGCCATCAGTGACAAGACACCCGGCTTGCCGAGTCTAACCCCAGTTCTGAGGTCCCCATGGCAGTGGCAATACCAAAGCCTCATGAAAGTTGTGAGAAAATTATAGAATCCTTCCTCTCCCTCCCTCACCAGTAAAGGCTCTTCCAGTCTGAAAATCCATTTGTAAGGAAGATGCAGGTGCCAAGAACACTTCAATAGGCCCTAAAGCTGCTCGCCCGGGGACCTCGCGGGTGGCTTAATTAGCACTGAGACGCTCCCTAAGCCCTTCACCAGGCCTCTGGAGAACCAAGCAGCATGGGGCTCCTGGTCTGTTACCCACAAGCTCAGGAGGTGGAGAGGACCTTCCACGGACAGGAGGAGGCACTGTCCTCCTCCAAGGCGGCACAACTAAGTCTGGGGAGGGCCAGGCTCACTGGGAGAGGAATACAAGAGCCTACCTGCACGGTAAGAAGATGTTTTTATTTGAAATATAGTCTGAGCAACATGAGTGTAGCCAAGAGGACGAGGGGCTGACCTGCCTGGGGTGGCAGCCCCTCTAATGGCACAGGAGCAAGAATACAAATATCCCACGGTCTGCGTGCCCCAAACCCCACTTGGCAGGAAAAGGCCGAACAGCAGCAGAACGAGGTCCACCCACAGCTCCTGCTGGCGGTTCTGCCTCCCAGGGCCTGCCGTGGCCACACCTCCTGCTCTCCCCATTCCAGACAGGTGTACTACCCAAGTTCTCCCCCACCGAGACAGGATGCGCCAAGGTGACAATCCGTTCTCAGGACTACTTGTGGAGAGAAGAATCGGAGAGGACAAGAAGGAAGGACAGGGCGACTAAGGACCCTCGCCAAGCCAGGCTGGGCAGAGCTTTCCCAGAGAGACTGGAGCAGCAGCCCTCGTTCCCCTGCTCAGGGTAGGAGGAAGGAGGGCTGGAGTCTGCAGGCACAGAGCTCCGAGGAGTCCCCCGGCTGAAGGCAGCAAGCAGGGAACCTCCCAAGAGAGCACAGCGGCTGAGGGGTTTCCGAGCCAAGTTGACAGCACTGGGGTGGGGCCACGCAAGCGGCCTGGGGCTGGAAGGACACAGACAAGAGTCGGGATTCCAAGAAGCAGCACAAAGCCATAAATAACCGAAGCAAATTCAGAGCCGAGAGGGTCCCCAGCAACCCCACATTTTGTGGGGCTGGAGACACCCAGCACCTGCAGCTCAGGGCACAGCCGGCCACACTCACACTGGGCCAGAGCCTTTTACTCCCCATGGTCTACACGGCAGGTGGAGGCGCACACACTGCAGGGCCTCCGGTCACACCTGAGGGGAGAGCGCAGGGCTGTCGCGGTCCTGAGAGGCCTGGGGTTGGCTCTGAGCATCTCGGGTAGCGTCCTCTTCTGGGGCCGGGCCCAGGGGTCTCCTTGCCTCTGCACCCACCAACAAAGGCTCGCCAGCACCCTCCGCCAGTCCATTCTCTCTCGTCTCCACAGACATTTCCTCTCCGGAGCCCTCTTCTGGCTCTGCGGCCTCCACCTTCACCTCCACCGCGGCTGCCTCCTCCTCCTCCTCTTCTTCCTCCTGGTCTCTCACCTTGTGGACAATGAAGAGGTGGCGGCTGAGGGAGGTGGCGGAGGTGTAGCACAAGCCGCAGAGGAGACACTGGGCTGTGGAGCTGTCCACCTGGTGCTGAGGTATGTGGCTCTGGAACTCGAGCCCCGAGTCTGTGGCAAAGCTACATTTTGCACACTGGAAAAGGGACTTGTGCCTTTTGGTAGAAGAGACAGTAACGCCATTGCTGGTGCCTGGAGCGTCCCCGGCTCCACTGAGCGGTCTTTTCAGATGGTTCACCTGAAAGGAAAGACAGTGTAGGCAGAGGCCAGGCCACGCCCTGGACACAGCCGGGGTAGCTGAGGGATCAAGGCTGGTGTCACCCAGGCCAGATGCGCCCCAGCCCAGAACACTGGCTTCGGTTTCAGCTGCCTCCGTTCTTTGCTCTCTAATGGGATACATGCATGTGGTGCAATATTCCAAAGGCACGGGAAGGTACAGAGAAGACTAGGCCCCTCCTCCCCATCCCTGACATCCAGAGAGGACATACTAGCCCGTGGCTTCTGAGAGATCCTATATGCACACAAAACCGAATCCACTGTCTTCTGAGAACAGCGTCCCATGCACACTTCTTCAGCTGTCTTCCTGCCCATTTCCCGGAGCTCGTCCCCACCAGCACCACGGGCAGCCAGCGGCACACAAACCCACTGTGGGCATGGCAGTGCCCACTGGTGGGCATTTGCTAAGTTCTGTCCTCGTCCCTGCACACCACACTGCGGCAAATGCCCTCGGGCACACTTCTTCGTGCCCCAGGCCAAAGCTGTCTGACATGTAACCCTAGGGGCAAGACTACTGCATCGAAGGGTGTGCACGCTTCAGGCAGAGGGGACGATGCACACTTCACTGTGAACAGAGGTCACCAGAGGTCAGCTGATACCCCCACCCACATGTGAACGGGCCTTCGCTGACAGCGCAACGCTGCACGGCCAGGCAAATCTCAGGGCTTCCCAGACCTGCTGGACTGCTCTGCCAGACCTGCCGGACACGCATGGGGAGCCACAGTGAGGGGAAACAAGGCTGCTCCAGTTCATCAGAATGGGAATGGGCATGGAATGCGGATGAGGACATGGGACTGGCTTGTCCCGTAACTAGCCTGGGGGACAGGGGGTGACTAGGCCATGATCCCCCCAGCAACGCAATCCTGCCACCCCTGCCTCTCTCACTGCGGGGCAGAAAGAGGATGGTGGTGAGCACGTGCCCACTCGGCAGAGCGTGCACACAGGTGCCGGGGAACTAGTCACGAAGGCCGACGTGTTGCCTCGCGGGTCTCTGTCCCCGCCCTCTACAAGACTGACCCACATGGCGGGACAGCGTGGCTCTTGCTGCCCTGTGGCCACAGCTACGTATGCACTCCCTGGAGCCCCCGCTGACACTCTTCCAGCCCCAGGCCGCCCCCACTCACCTGAGGGGAATGTCCACCCGGGGGTCTGACTTGGGATGTCTGGCTCAAATCAGGGTTTCGGATACCGTGCATAAGGCTGATGTGGCTCTCCAGGAGCGAGGGTCGGGGAAAGCTGGGACTATCCTCTGCGCAGTACCTGCAAAAGCAGTCGCCCAGGTCAGCCAGGCCTGGACCCCAGGCCCCTACAGGGCTCTCCACACGCAGCAGCGGGAGTCTGGCACGGGCAAAAAGTGCGCCCTCGGGCTGGCCAAGGCTTGCTGTTCCACCAAGGTGGCTGCCAACCACCAATCAGAACACACATCTGCTAGAACCTGGCCCACAGCATGATCTCGGCCCAGAAGCCCCAGTACGGGGCGAGTGGTCAGTGTGAAAAGGCCAGGGCACATCCTAGGCGCAGGCAGACGTCACCAGAGAGGTGCACGGCCACATCACTGCTGCCCCTCTTGAGCCTCAGGGCCCTTCCCCATCATGCAGCCCAGGCCCAGAGAGTGAGGCGGAGGCGGCTCAGGAACTGACGGAAGCCGCCCTGTCTGTCCAGTTAGAAACTCATCTCACAGCAGAGGGGCCCTCTGGCGTCCGGGGCCCAGCAGCACCCCGGGACTCACCCACACGTGTAGACCTTCTTCACAGTGTCGTGGCTGTGGCGGATGTGTTTGCGCAGGCTGTTGGGGGTGTGGAAGGACTGCTCACATTGCCGACACGGGTACCGCTTCATCGTCTGCGGGGAGGAGGAAACGGCGCATCAGAACCGGAGAGTCCGGGGTGCGTCTTTCTCAGCCACAGTGTCCACCCCGTCCAGGTCGCCTGGAAGCCTGCTGTGTGTGACCAGGGGACTGCGCTTACCCGACCATGGCTCTTTTTCATGTGGGAAACGTAGCTCTCCCGATCGGGAACCCACTCCTGGCACTCCTGGCAGGTCCAGCCGGTGCTCCTTAGCCGGGGTCTGGCCTCAGCCCTGCGATAGGCGTCCGGCCTGCCCCAGCGGCCCGAGGGCAGGGAGCTGCCCCTGGCAGCCACACTAGCAGCTGGGGACTCGGTGGTGGGGACGCGGGAGCTGGAGCGGCCCGAGGACGTGTCCGCTGAAGACTGGAGGCTCGACAGCTCGTCCACATTCCGGGGAACACCGTGGGTGCTCTGGGGATGGGGAGAGCGATTACTGACTGGGCAGGGGAAAGATGCACAGAGTCAGACCCTCGGCCTGAAGCGGGTGCCCGCCCCAGCCTCCTCGCCAGGCCTCCCACCTTGACGTGCTGCATTAACTCCGGCTTCTGCAGGAACAGAAGTGGGCACTCAGGGCACTTGAAGACGTTCGCCTGTGCCTCCCTGACGTCCTGGTAAAAATGCTGCTGAATGTGCCTCTTCTTGTTGAAGACCGTTTCACAGGAGCACTTATAAATGAGCCTGACGAGACAAGCCCCAGGACACAAGGTGGCCTGGGCTCTGCCGGCAGAGCCACCCAGCCTCCACCCCACTCTGAACCCGGGCCGGTTCTGGGAAAGCTCTACTGCCCCCCGCCTCAGGATGTCCTTAGCAGGCTCCAGCACCTCTACCGCTAGCCCTGGCTCCCTGGTCCAGCCCCGAGCCTACTGCTCCTGGAGTGCACTCACTGGGAGGGCTTGTGGGGCTGGCTGGGGTGCTGGGAGGCGGTGTGGTCCGCAGTGCTGCCGGCAGTCTTGAAGGCCATGGGGCAAAATGCACACTTGTGGAAGATCTGGCAGTGTCGCTCCTGGATGTGGCTTTTGAGCAAGGCCAAGGTCAGGTGGACGACACCACAGTGGATGCACCTATACAACAGACAGGTAGATGTGGGGGGAGGTCGGCGGGGTGTGGTGGTGTGAAGAGCCAGAGGGGGATGGAAGGCAGGACAGAGCCACCCCAGGGATCCTCTCCACTCCCAAGCATTCAGTATCCCCTCTCCTGCATATACATTGAGAGCCTCCTTGCTGCGACACGGCCCGACCTGGCCACCAGAGCCTGCTAGAGAAGGGGACAGACACACACACCCCCGTCCACCCTGGTCCACTGGCTAGAGGATATTTTCCTGCAAGACACAAGCTCAAAGCCCACGTAAGAGAAGTCGGCGGGAGCTGAGAGCGAGGAAAGTGGTTTAACAGCCTCCATTCAAGCCAAGCGGCTGCACAAGTCCAAAAGCCAGTTCAGAGGGAGGCTGCAAGAGCCTGTGCCTTCCCACAGACGGGCACTGAACAAGCAGGGACAGTCCCTAACAAAACATTCAGCCAGGAAGCGCTACGCTCCCTCTAACGAAAATCCCACGGAAACAAGCAGCCCCTCAAGCCCAGGAAGAGACGCTCCAGGGCAGCGCTGTCCACCAGAACTCGGCTGACGAGGGCTGCGCTCTACTGCTGTGCTGTCCGTGGGGCTACCTAAAGGTAACTCAGTCAGACCAACAGAAGAGGTTCAGTTCCTTAGCTGCACTGGCCATACTCCCAGTGCTCCAAACCCACACACACCTGGCACCGCTCTGGCTGTGCAACTCAGCGCCAGGTCTCCTGAGTGAATGAGGGATCATTTTTTCTTTTTATCCCTACCAATCTGTATTTTCTTTGGCTTCATAGATATATATTTTTATCACGTATGAGTAAATGAAGTAAAAAATTGTCTTTGAAGATTTTTTTAAATTGAGGCTATCTGGAACTCTTCTTTCTTTTCTTTTCTTTCTTTCTTTTTTTTTTCTTTTTTTTTTTTTTGGACAGGCAGAGTTAGACAGTGAGTGAGAGAGAGAGAGACAGAGAAAGGTCTTCCTTCTGTTGGTTCAACCCACAAATGGCTGCTACGGCCGGCACACTGCGCTGATCCGAAGCCAGGAGCCAGGTGCTTCCTCCTGGTCTCCCATGCAGGTGCAGGGCCCAAGCACTTGGGCCATCGTCCACTGCACTCCCTGGCCACAGCAAAGAGCTGGACTGGAAGAGGAGCAACCAAGACAGAACTGGCGCTCCAACCGGGACTAGAACCCGGGGTGCCGGCGAGAATTAGCCTAGTGAGCCGTGGCGCTGGCCTGGAACTCTTCTTTCAACTTCAAAATATCTCAATAAATACTGCCTTTCCTTTTTTCCAATATCAGAGAAACATACAACTGTCTTCCATGCCAACTTAAATCCTTCAAGTCCCTAGTCCCTCCTGTTCAGTGTTTCTTCCTGCCCATAATCCCTTGCAAGACTCCCTACTAGCCCCTTTTTCTTCCTTCTGCTGCAGTATTGCCAGTGCTTGTGACCTTGACATCCCAGTAGGCACTAGAAGGTTGCTGCTTTACTGAAAGGACGTGGCTTCCCTTAAGAATTCCTTGAGGCACGGGCACTGTGGCACAGCGGGATAAGCCACCACTTAGGACACCCATATCCCATATGAGAGTGCAGGTTCGAATTTCAACTGTTTTGTACTTCCAACCCAACTTTCTGCTAACACACCTGGGAGGCAGCAGATGACGGAACAAGTGCTGGGTTCCTGCCACCCCCATGGGAGACCAGGCTGGAGTTCCTGGCTCCTGGCTTCAGCCTAGCCCGGCCCTGGCTGTTGTGGGCATTTAGGGTGTCTACCCAGTACACGGTATCTCTCTCTCTTTGCACACCTTTCATACTAATACATCTAAGAAAAAACGACTTGGTTTGGGGGCATGTGTTGTGGTACAGCAAGTTAAGCTGCTGCTGTCATGCCTGCATCCCATATTGAGTTCCAGATACTCTGTGCTTCCAAAGCAGCTTCCTGCTAACATGCCTGGAAGGCGGCAGACGGCCCGTGGACTTGAATTCCCTGGTTGTTGTGGCATTTGGGGAGTGAGTCAGGGGATGGAATATTTCTCTCTTCCTCCCCCCTCTGTTACTCTGCCTTTCAAATAGATAAATTACATCCCTTAAGTGGGTGTCTGAAAGAAAAATCCCTTAAGTGGGTATCTGACCAAACTCCTGCCGAAACCACGTAAATACACTTTTCTCAATGTCATTGAAAATCCATTCCATTTATCCAGCAGATTTTCTCTGAGAAGCTTAATTAAAAGTAAGAACATATGGAGCAGGCGCTGTGGCCTAGTGGGTAAAGCTGCCTCCTGGACTGCCGGCATCCCATACGGGCAGCAGTTCAAGTCCCGGCTGCTCCACTTCCAATCCAGCTCTCTGCTGTGGCCTGGGAAAGCAGTAGAGGATAGCCCGAGTCCTTGGGTCCCTGCACCCACGTGGGAGAACCAGAAGAAAATTCACGCCCCTGGCTTCAGATCGGCCCAGCTCTGGCTGTTGCAGCCATTTGAGGACATACAAAATAGCCTCAGTGCAGGAAACTAATGAAAAAGTGTGAAGAGATGTAAAATATTTAATATTTGCCAATTAATCACAAATAAGAAAATAACATGAACAGTCTTCCAAAAGTTAATGGAAATACATGTTATGAAAAAGCTATGCATGAAAATCTATGCACCAAAATGAACTTGTCTTTGAATTCCACTTTTCATGAACTTTTTGAAGTACCCTCATATTTATTAAAACAGTTTAAACTCATTTCCTTTTGATATCACTGGCTACTTCCCAAATCATCGACAAAGAGTAAGATAACTTACAAAAATTCTAAAATATATAAAAAGTATATACGTACCTTTTACATAAAATACATATAAATTATGTACATATACATTGTACAGACTGTTTATAACAGTCTTCAAGAAAAAGCAAAAACAATACAAAACCTAAAGTAGTGATTCTAAAACTCTGCAGTACAGCACAATGAAATGGAACAAGGGTATCTTCTGAGAATTTACTAAGAGACAGAGGTGTATACCTATAACATATAAAGAACTCTTACACTCAAAAAATAAGACAACTAATACTCCAATTAGAGCAATGTACAGAGGATGTGAACAGATATTTCTCCAAAGAGAGGCAACTGGGCAATAAGCACATGAAGACGCTCGACACTGTTACCTGGCGGGGAAATGGAAATCAAAGCCACAGTAGGACAGCACTTGTCATCTCCAAGGATGGTGACAATCCGAAAGCCGGACAACAGACTACTGGCAAAGATGTGGAGAAGAATCCCAGGCCTTCACACACTGCCATGGGAGCATAGAAACGGGACAGCTGTGCTGGAGCCCAGTCCTGCAGTTCTTCAAAATGTCACACTCACAGTCACACCTGACACAGACTCCGCTCCTAGGTGTACAGCCCAAGAACTAGAAACCACACCCACAGGGAAACCTCAGCCGTGAAAGGGAATGAAATACCGAGAGAGGCGACAACACGGAGAAGCCCTGAAAACATCACGCTAGGGCTGCAAACTGTTATTCCATTCAGGTGGGATGTACGGAAGAGGCAAATCTATGGGACAGGAAGTAGTTGTCGGGGGCTGGGAGGATGAGAGTCGTGGTAGACACGAGATTTCTCTTACAGCAAGACAGAAACCTGGATTGGTCAGGTTTGTTTTTCTTTTCTTTTTCTAACCTTCCGCTATTCCTCACACCCTCACTTCCTAGACCCCTCTTATATCTACCTTTCCTCCATGTCCAAGGCCTCGCCTTGCGGAAGTCCTCTGCATCTCCCCTGGACCATCGCCCGCCTGTGGGGCAGCCCCCGGTTTCGCCCTTCACTAATGCACACGTCAGCCCAGGACGATCCTGCTGAAGCTCCCAGTGCACACCTTTCTGCTGGCTGGACAGAGCCAAGACGTCCGCCAAGGTGTGCAAGGTCTCGCGTGGCCTGCCCTCCGTCAGCTCCCCCAGTTCAGCCTGGCACACCACTCCTCCAACCCCTCGGTGCTTCCTGGGGTCCCTGCCCGTGCCACTGCCAGATGCGCTCTCCCTTTTCCTCCACCCAGAAACCTCCTGCAGTCCCTGATGACGCCTTCTAGGCCTTCACCTGAGTTGCCATGACCACCATACTGAAGTCCCCTAGAGGGCAAGCTCATCTTGGCACTCTGGGCGTCCAGGGGGATGCGAAAGACAGTGGTGCACACAAAAGCCAGAGGAAGTCAACCAAAAACATCTCGATGCCAAAATTTGGTCAGAAATAATTGTCAGAAGTGAAAATGATAAAGCAGGAACTCCCAGGTGTAGTAAATCAGTTTCAGGAGACCTAACTGGGTCAAGGTAGAAGTTACAGATCAATGAGCTTTGCAGAGTTTTCTCCGCCACTTTGATCTTTTTCCTGAAATCAACCACTTCTTGTGCATATTTGACGCAATGGAGAAGACACAGGGTCAAATCAGAGTTTTGTGGGGTTTGCTACGAGGCTGATCGCTTTTTCCATTCTTGGGTTTTTTCCTGTTTCTCACAAACTGACAAAAAGCAACCACAATGAAGACAGGGGAGCTCTTTTGAGTTGCACCTTAGACAGCCCCATTTGTCAACAAAACCGAGAGCACTGCAAAGGTCCTGTAATTAGTAAATTGATTCTTGAATAGTACTTTAGTAAGCCAAACACGATGACTCTGTGAGCAATTCAAATTTATGCACCTTAAGAAATTAACAAAGTGTTAATATGCTAATCTCAAAACCTTTCCCTTAGAAGGTCCTCTTTAAATATCTAATTCTTTCCTGCTCTTCCTGTCCTCTACAAAGTGAGTAGTGTCTGTCCCCAACCTATCAGGCTGGCGCCCTGGCCTCTGAAGACCAAACCTCAGTCTGAGATGAGCTCCGGCCTAGGACAAGGACCAGCCCCTTGGGCAACACCAGGACAGTGAGCCAGACAGCACCCACCTGTAGCCCACCTTGCGGGCATAGTGCAGGCAATTCTCCTTTACGTGGGTCTGGAAGTAGGCAGAGCGACAGAGGACCCCACACTCCGGGCAGCAGTAGGGGGACTTGTGTGCATGAATCCGCTGATGGGCACAGAAACTGCACTGGTTGGGCAGCAGCATCTGGCACACCTGGCAAGTCTAGGAAAGAACACCAAGAAAGCAGATCACACAGGTGCTGCAGGCCCTGGCTCCTGTTCCAGGACACTGTCAGGACGGCCCCTCCCAACCACTGTCTCTTCCAACTCTCCAGGGACTCTATGACACACCCCCCCCCAACCCTCACTCAAGAGTGGCACTGGCGCGCAGGCAGGTGGTGCCTGCCATGTTATTCTTCAGGGACATACCTGACTCTACTTCCCCTCTTCACCTCCAGGGCTGCACACTTCCCCTTCCTCTGGCTTAGCAGAAGCCCAGCCCTGCCTCTCAAGGGCCACAGCACTTCCAACTCTAGGACCTCACTGCACTGCCAGACACCCCTGGGCCTGGGCCTTAGCTCGGCAGTGGCCTAGTGAGGGGGACCTGCCCGGTGCCTCTCACATGGGGACTCAAAACTTCCAGAATGGACCTGAGCCTCCCTGGGGGGCACTCAGAAAGCCCTGGCTCAGACCAAGTGGCTTGCCAGTTTCCATTCCCCCAACATGTTGGGCCCCCTCTGTGGGGCACAGTGAGCCATAGCTAAGTATACCACTGACCTCAGGCCAGGGCAGGTTACGCAGCACTGATGCACAAATAGGCAGAGCCCAGAGAGCCCACAGTGGGACAGCAACAGACTACACCTACAGCCTGGACACCTACAGCCTGGATAGGCCCCTTCCAAGTTCTCAGTAAAGGGGGACACCTGCATACCCGCCCTGAGCTGGGGTCATATGAGTTGCTCAGAGGGACAGACTCTTAGGGGAGGACAGGAAAAGATTTCTGCCTGAATCAGCAAATTCCAGAACGTGGGGATAAACAATCCAATTTTTTAAGTAAGTAGCAAGGGGGGAAAAAGGCACAAAGAAAAAGGGAACTTACAGATGAAAAGAGATTTAAGAGATATTTTCAACCAGTTGCAATATGCAGCCCGTATTCAGATCCTGATTCAAACAAGCCACGAGTAAAAAGAAATGAGATGATCCAGAGAAAACTGACCATTAAATTAAGGACAATATTGGGAAAATTGACATCAAAATCTGATCATAAGAAATTATAATTAATGTTTAGATGTAATACAATGTTTACATGTTTTGAAGAAAACCTGTTCATCTTTTTTTTTTTTTTATTTTAGATTTTATTTCTTTATTTAAGAGGCAGAGATACAGAGAGAGGGAGAGACAGAGAAAGGTCTTCCATCACTCTCTAAATGGCTATAACAGCCAAAGCTGGGCCAATCTGAAACCAGGAGCCAGGAGCTTCTTCCAGGTCCCCCATATGGGTACAGGGGCCCACATACTTGGACCCCATCTTCTACTGCTTTCCTGGGCCATAAGCAGAGAGCTGGATCAGAAGAGGGGCAGCCAGGACACGAACTGGTACCCATGTCGGATGCCAGCATGGCAGACAGAGGCTTAGCCTACTACATAGACCACAGCGCCAGCCCACCCCCTTCATCTTGTAGAGCAGGGGTGGGGAGCGTCCACTTGAGGGCCGTATGAGGCCCGCTAAATCTGGCCCTGCCAAGGCAACTGCGGGCAGGACTTGAAATTCAATAAATCCAAAGCCAGTTAATTTTTACGTCAATAATTTGTATGACCTGTGAATGAGGTTATAAATATCCAAATAAATGGACCTTGACAGAAAAAAAGGCTCTGCACCCCTGTTTTAGAGATACAGACTGAAATACTCACACATGGGGCTGCCAGGACTTGTTCAAAAATAATCCGCCCACCAGAGAAGAACAGAACAGAAACACTTGAAGCCAGACAGCCCACGGATGGCTCGCTAGCACAGGGGGTTCACTGTACTGACCTTTCCACTTTCACATACGCCTGGGACACTGCACAATAAAAAATTCTGGTTTTTCTTTTAAGTGTCTATTTTAGTTGCAGCATGTTATGTCTTGTGTAAGAGACACACACGCACGTACGCACGCAAACACACACATTGGGATAAATAAAAAATGAGTGTGGGCAGGAGGAGGGGTAGGGTGGGAAGAATCACTGTGTTCCTAAATTTGTATAATATGAAAGCATGAAGTTTGTATACCTTAAATAAAAGGTTTAAGTTAAAAAAATGTGTTTTTTTTTATTTTTTATTTTTTTGACAGGCAGAGTGGACAGTGAGAGAGAGAGAAAGGTCTTCCTTTTTTCTGTTGGTTCACCCCACAATGGCCGCTACGGCTGGCGCACCGCGCTGATCCAAAGCCAGGAGCCAGGTGCTTCTCCTGGTCACCCATGGGGTGCAGGGCCCAAGCACTTGGGCCATCCTCCACTGCACTCCCGGGCCACAGCAGAGGGCTGGCCTGGAAGAGGGGCAACCAGGACAGAATCCGGCGCCCTGACCAGGACTAGAACCCGGTGTGCCGGTGCCGTAGGCGGAGGATTAGTCTATTGAGCTATGGTGGCGCCGGCCTAAAAAAATGTTTTGAGAGCAACTCCATTCAATCATATCTCACATTATTTTGTAAAGCCATCCTTCTACTTGATAACTGAAGAAAGAAAAATTCACTCATGCATAACTAATTTGCAGTCATTTGTGGATTACTGGCAGAGCGTGTTATTTTATCACTGTTTTTTCTTTTGTTCCTTTGATTTCCTGCCACTGATTATTAGCATGATTCTAACCCACCCCACTGCCTGATCTGGGCAATCACGGGTTCTGTAGCACAAGTCTGTCTTTACTATCTTCTAGCAGTTCTCCAAAGGGGGATGCTGGAGGTGGAGGGGGTCAAAACAACGAACTCAAGTGGGATTTGCTTCTCTTTCACTTAAGTAAATTATGTTATTTAAATGTGAAAAAAAATTAAAAATGAGTAACAATGGTTACCTACGGAGGAAGGAAGAGTCACTGAATGCACCTGTCATACTTGTAACTATGAAAGTAAATACTATGAACAAAAGATCACCTAGAATTTGAAAACAGAGGGCCAGCATCATGGCTCAGTGGGTTAAGCCAGCACCTGCAAAGCCAGGATCCCCATGAGTGCCAGTCTGAGTCCCATTTGCTCCACTTCTGATCCAGCTCCCTGCTAATGTGCCCGGGAAAGCAGCTGAAGATGGCCCAAGTGCTTGGGCCCCTGTAGCACAAGTGGGAGACCCAGATGGAGCTTCTGGCTCCTGGCTTTGGCCTGACCCAGCCCTGGCCATTCTGGCCATCTGGAGAATGAACTGGCGGCTGGAAGGTATCTCTGTCTCTCCCTTTCTTTAACTGCCTTTCAAATAAATAAAAACAAATTTAAAAACAGGTCATCTAAATATATATCAAGTTGGTGACATAACTATATAGAAGAAAAAAAAATGATCCCCAGGGACTTACACACACACACACACACACACACACACACACACCCTTAGTGGGCCAAGCTGAAACCAGGAGCCAGGAACTCCATCTGAGTCTCCCAGGTGGGTGGCAAGGACTCAGGTACTTGAGCCACCACCTGCTGCCTCCCAAGGTGTCCATTAGCAGAAAGTTAGAATCAGATATAAACTGGGACTCAAACCCAAGCACCCTGATGCTTATCTGTGCACCAAAATTGCTGACCCCTCGGTGTGATATATTGTAAGGGCAAAAAGAACTGGGAATACGCTAAACATTACAGTTATCCTAATGTTAGGAACAATGTTGGATTTGAAATGTATGTGTATATGTATGCTTGTGTGTGTGTGTAAATATAACTTTGAAATACATGTACATAGTAGGAAAATCTTAGGAGCCAAGATTTTCAGTATAAAATCCGTTACATAAAAATTCTACCATCTTAAACTTGAGCATCAGAACAACTCAAGCATTTCCCAGCTCTGACCACTGAAAAGACCCAGAAACAAAGGTAAGCCCAAGAGCAAGGAGCACACTTAGTGTCCAGACTGTGGCCTCCAAACATTTTCCTCAACAAAAGAGCTGGCTCCCTGCAAAAGTGACTGATTGTAGGCTTAGCAAAGAAACAGGCCCAGTACCTCTCTTCCTGAGAATTACTGAGTTTTGTCAAAAAGACATGGGCACCAGCTTGAAGGGGCTCCCACTGAACAAAGATGTGATAAGCTGGGCATCAAAAAGAATGACAAATAACAAAAACACAGTGCGGGCCGGCGCCGCGGCTCAATAGGCTAATCCTCTGCCTAGCGGCGCCGGCACACCGGGTTCTAGTCCCGGTCGGGGCGCCGGATTCTGTCCCGGTTGCCCCTCTTCCAGGCCAGCCCTCTGCTGTGGCCAGGGAGTGCAGTGGAGGATGGCCCAGGTGCTTGGGCCCTGCACCCCATGGGAGACCAGGAAAAGCACCTGGCTCCTGGCTCCTGCCATCGGATCAGCGCGGTGTGCCGGCCGCAGCGCGCTGGCCACAGCGGCCATTGGAGGGTGAACCAACGGCAAAAGGAAGACCTTTCTCTCTGTCTCTCTCTCTCACTGTCCACTCTGCCCGTCAAAAAAAAATAATAATAATAAAAAAATAAAAAAAATAAAAAAAAACAAAAACACAGTGCGTTCATGATATGGTACGCTCAGTGTGCTCATCATAATACCAACACTAAAAATAGCAAAGGTGTCTTCATACCATTAGTCAGAGTTACAGAGAGAGAAAGAGAGGTGGAGAGAGAGAGGTCTTCCATCCACTGGTTCACTCCCCAATTGGCCACAATGGCTGGAGCTGCACCAATCTGAAGCCAGGAGCCAGGAGCTTCCTCCGGGTCATCCCACGCAAGGGCAGAGCCATCTTCTACTGCTTTCCCAGGCCACAGCAGAGAGCCGGATCGGAAGTGGAGCAGCCGGGACTTGAACCGGTGCCGGTGTGGGATACTGGCACTGCAGGTGGCAGCTCTACCTGCTATGCCACAGCGCTGGCCCCTAGGATGGCTACTATTAAATAAATAAATAAATAAATAGTAAGTGCTAGTGAGGAGGTGAAGAAATGAATTCTTGTGCACTGCTGATGGAAAATAAAATAATTTCTATGAAAAACCGTATGGCGTTGGCTCAGAAAATTAATGACAGAATTACCACGTGAGAGCAGGCAGTTAAGTTGCCACTTGGGATGCCCACATTCCTTATCAGAGCACATGGGCTTCAGTCTGAGTTCCACTCCTGATTCAAGATTCCTGATATTGCAGACTCTGGGAAATAGGTGATGGTTCAAGTGTTTGGGTGCCTACAACCCCTGTGGGAGGGAGGCCTGGATGGAGTTCCCAGCTCTTTGCTTTGGCCTGACCCCTACCCCTTGGCTGTCACAGGCACTTGGGAAGTAAGTAGATGAGATACCTTACCCTCCAATCTTGCTCTGCCTTTCAAATTAAGTTTAAAAAAAAGTGACTCAGCCACTTCTCAATATATACCCAAAACAACTGAAAGCAAGAGACGAAAGATATCTATCTGTACACCTGTGTTCTTAGCATCATCCACAATAGCTAAACAGAGAAGCAAGCCAAGTATCCACCCACAGATGAACCGAGAAACAAAATGTGCAAACGTTGTACATACACATTATGGAATCTTCTCTAGTCTGAACAAGGAAGGAAGTCCTGACACCTGCTACAACGTGGATGGGAGCTTGTGGCATGAGATAAGGCAGTCACAACACCAGAGATGCTGTAGGATTATGTTTGCATAGTACCTGCAGTGGTCAGATTCAGAGAGACAGAAGGCAGAACGTGGCTGCCATGGGCTGCGGGGAGGAGAACGGGGCGGTCAGTGTTGAGCGGGCACAGGGTGCCAGCGGTACAAGATGAGAAGTGCTCTGAAGATGGCTGCACCACGGTGCGAATGCACAGGACACTGCTCAAGTGTGTACCGAGAAAGGGCTACAAAGGGAAACCTCAGGTCATGTGTATTTCACATCTGAGAACATCTTTTCAAATTGTCAGAGCATCAGCTCACTTCTCTGAAAACTGTTAAGTAAAGGAAACAAATGACTATTTGCCCCATTTTCCAACATAAACTATATTTCAGAGTAAGGTATTTTATATACAATTCTACCTAATAAATGAGAAATAATCAAATTAGAAACACACCCTTTCGGGGCTGGTGCTGTGTCACAGCGGGTAAAGCCGTCACCTACGGCACCAGCATCCCATGTGGGCGCTGGTTCCAGTCCCAGCTGCTCCACTTGCAATCCAGCTCCCTACTAATGTGCCTGGGAAAGCAGAGGAAGATGGCTCAGGTATTGGGTCCCTGCACCCACATAGGAGACCCAGAAGAAGCTCCTGGCTCAAAATCACCCAGCTGCAGCCACTGTGGCCATTTGGGGAGTGAACTAGCAGATGGAAGATCTCTCTCTGCCTCTCTGTAACTCTGCCTTTCAAATAAATAAATAAATCTTTAAAAAAAAAGAAAAGAAAAGAAAAGAAAAGAAAATTAAAGAAAAGAAACACACCTTTTTGCAACTCTTAGTGAAATTAGACCCGAGCAGTGACTACTGACTGATGGCTAGAATCACGAGGTGAAGGAAGAGACAAAGCATCACCACACATACTCACTGGTCAAGTTCAGAACACTGCAAGTAAGACAGCCAGGGACTCTAGCCTCCTGATATAACCGCAAAGAAAGACCACCACACCCTGCACCCCCAGCCAAACTGAACCTGAGTCCAGCCAAATCCTTATCAGAAAAACCATAGGATAGAAGGGAAACGACTTGTGTGAGGAATCAATCAGTGAAACCCGGAACTGTCCCCAATACTCCAGTGTATCCAGTTTCTTCAACAAGTCAACAGCAATGTGGAAAAGGGGGTCTGGGAGCCAGCGTTGTGGGGCAGTGGTTAGGTTGCTGCTTGTGGGGTACCAGTTTGAGTCCCAGTTTTTCTACGTCTGATCCAGCTCCCTGCTAATGTGCCTGAGAGAGCAGCAGATGACCCAAGTGTGTGGGCCCCTGCCGCCCCAGGGGGAGACCTGGATGAAGCTCTTGGCTCTTGGCTTCAATCTAACCCAGCCCTGGCTGTTGTGGCCACTTAGGGAGTGAACCAGCAGATGGAGATCTCTCTTCCACGCTCTCTAACTCTGCCTTTCAAACAATAAACATTTTAAAGGGATGGTCTGGAGGGGTCCAGTGGGAAGAGGTACTGTTCTGGACAGCAACTTAAGAGACATAAGAAACAAATGGAATGTGTGCCCTAAGTGTGGATACAGACTCAAATTGAACTCCACTGTAAAAAGACATTTTGACATAACTGGGATAATGCGAACATAGACTTGTATTAGGTGATATTAAGGAATTCTTCTTAACTTTTTTTTTTTTTTTTTGACAGGCAGAGTGGACAGTGAGAGAGAGAGAGACAGAGAGAAAGGTCTTCCTTTGCCGTTGGTTCACCCTACAGTGGCCACTGTGGCTGGTGCACTGCGGCCAGCGCACCACGCTGATCCGAAGCCAGGAGTCAGGTGCCCCTCCTGGTCTCCCATGTGGGTGCAGGGCCCAAGCACTTGGGCCATCCTCCACTGCACTCCCGGGCCACAGCAGAGAGCTGGCCTGGAAGAGGGGCAACCGGACAGAATCCGGCCCCGACCGGGACTAGAACCCGGTGTGCCGGTGCCGCAAGGCGGAGGATTAGCCTAGTGAGCCGCAGCGCCGTCCTCTCTTAACTTTAATCTTGTTAGCTGTGATAATGACCATATAGTCAAATAAAAACTTTAACAACAAGAAAAATACAATCCATCTGTGCTGACATCCTGCCCCAGCAAAGTGGGGGAAATGCAAAGGAGAGAAGAAAGGCTTCAGTTGCCACAGGAGGACCGCACTCACTTCAGGGCAGGGTCCTGGGACGCAGACAGAAGGCCCACGCCCGCCGTCCCACCATCACTGCTCTGGAAAGGAACCCAGCCCCTGCCATGGACGCGTGGCCTGAAGTCTGGGCACTGTCACGGCGAAACCCAGGCCAACTGCCATCCAGACTGGCTTCTGACGCCACAGCTCGAACCCCACAGTCCCCTGACACTCAGAGCTACACTCGGTGCAGGGTTCTGTGAGGGCCTGGCTCAGCGAGGAGCCTGGCGGCCTTCTTGGGCACTCTCCCTCCCTGGCTGGGGCGCGCTTGTCCGGCTCCACTTAGGCGAGAACAAAGGATGGAAAGAAAGGGCATCAGCCTGGGACCCCATACCCTGCCCTCTGCCCACTCAGATTTTAGAAGATGGAACACTGTGCCAAAGACACACGAGCCCAGGCCTCGGACTTCCACTGCCAAGGGTCCTGGTCACGTGACTGAGAAAAAGTGCTCCTGGCCCAAGCCAAGCATGCTGGTCAAGCAGGAACACGGAGGCCCCAGGGGAATGGGCTGGGCCACAATCACTCTGAGGCATCCAAAGGAAAACACAAACTGAAAGGGAAAGAAGGTGAACTGAGCGGCCACAGAGGGGCTCCGCAGGCCTGTCAGGCTCTCCCTCCTGCCTCCTCCACAACTCCCCCAAGGCCAGCCTCACACCAGCGACTCCCTGCTCCTCAAACCCACTCTGCACCCCACAGGCCTCTGCCCCTTTGCCCTTCTCCAAACTCACCCTTGCAGGCCCAGCTTACATGTTACCTCTGCCTGGAGTCAGTGTGAATTAGCTCCTCTGTGGTACTGTGACGAGGTTCACAGCCTTTTGGGCAGTGGCCCTACCCTTGCTAAGCCACCATGCACTCCTGGAGGAAGGCGAGACTCCCTGGTGTTGGCACCCCCACTCAGCAGAGCACAGAGCCCCACACACACTGGGCACTGGGAAAATATGTGCAAAGCCCAATGGCCACCAGTATGCGCCTAGGCCCGTGGCTGGACCAGAGTAAAAACTGCTGTCTTGCTTTCCCCACAGGGCTCTGTGGCCCTGGCTACAGAGAGGGGTGGGCTTGGCTGCATGGTGAGGAAAACCAAAGACCCCTGCCCAGAAAACAGATCCTCCTCCCCCTCCGCTGGCGCTGTGACATAGCGGGTAAAGCCTCAACCTACAGCACCCACATCCCATATGGGCAACAGTTCGAGTCCCAGCTGTTCTACTTCACATCCAGCTCCCTGCTAATGAGCTTGGGAAAAGCAGTGGAAGATGGCCCAAGTGCTTGGGCCACTGCACCCATGTGGAAGACCCAGATGAATCTCCTGGCTCTGGCCTGGCCCAGCTCTGGCTGTTGCAACCACTTGGAGAGTGAACCAGCAGATGGAAGATCACTCTCTCTGTCTCTCCCTCTCTCTGTGTGTAACTCTCTTTCAAATAAATAAAATAAACCTTTAATAATAATAATAATAATAATAATAATAATAAAAGCCCCCCTCAAGCTTAACCAAGTGTCAGACAAGCAGCATGATCCACCTGCTTGCCTGGGGCAGCGAGAACACAGAGGGAAGGAGGCCTGCAAGGCCTCCACTGGGACCCCCAGGTCCTGCTGCTGGCCCTGCTGCACCTTCCCCAGAGGGACTCTGCAAAAACAGCTGCATCCACAGCAGGGAAGACAGGATCTCACCAAGGGCACGATTCCTAGAGAACAGACAGGCACAGGGGCAGGGGCTCACCCATCTGGGCTGCCAGAGACCCGAGGACTGTCCCCTAGAGGCCTACCCAAGCCCCACACTGCACCCTGACAGCCCCTGGAGGAGGAGCTGAGTGACTGTGGGTATGTCTGTAAACACGCTTGGCCCAGGGTCTGCCTCAGCTGCGGGCAGGACGCCCTTTCCAGCACACACCAAGCATTCCTGATTCAGGCAGGTCACTAACCGCGGAGCCAGACATCCTCTCCTCAGACTCTTCCGCTGCCCCCACGTCAATGACCACTTCTCTCTGTGCCCAAGCATGGCAGGGCCCCTTCCCATTGCGGGGAGGGTCTGCTTACCAGCCCCTCGGCTTCTTCTGTCCTCTGGAAATGTGCAGCCAAGACCATGTAGTCTCGCATCTGCTTGTGACATTCAGGACACTTGATTCCGTACCGGATGAGCCTCACGGGGTCTGGGTAGAGTGGCAAGGCTGGAGGAGGGGGGCTGGCACCGCCAGCAGGGAGGCCAGGCTTAGGGGAGGGAGCGGGGGCCGGGGCTGCTGGTGCTGTGGCGTTTGCAGGGGGCGACACGAACATCTGGTCGGCGGAGATGGGCTTCACGAGCAGCTGAGAGCACTGCATGACCAAGCCCTTGCTCTTGTGGTCGCGGGCGTGCCGCAGCAGGCTGCACTTGTTGAAGAAGAGCAGCGTCTTGGAGCACAGCGTGCACAGCACCTCGATGTGGACGCTCCGCCGGCCGTAGTGCTGGCTCAGGCTCTTCTCTAAGGCAAACGCATCCCCACACTCCAGGCAGCAGTACCCACTGGCCGGCACGTGGATCCTGCTGTCTGCAGGGGGGCTGAGATTTGGCGCGTAGAGGGGCACGGGGTTGGAGCTGTGGAGGACCCTGTTGAAGACCTCCACCACGAGTGGGGCAGCCTTTTTCACCTGGTGGACCAGGGGCACCGACATCTGCGTGAGCTGCGTCTGGTTCCGTCTCTGTGCCGAGGATTTGGCTGTCACGGATGCGGCAACGCTGTGGGGGACCAGGTTCAGGTTGGCCAGGTGCACGGCTTTGGGCAGGAGGTTGGCTGGGCCCAGGGCAGATGCCTGCAGCGCTGTGCTCTGTTGCTTCTTGCCCAGCTGTGAGCCCACGGCAGCCCCCTTAGGGACCCGGGGCCCAGAGCAGGGAGATGAAGAGTCACTGGCCTTTGTCATGCTCTCGTCCCCTTTCTTGTCACCCTGGGGGCTCCCTGAATTTGTGCCAGGCTCAGGAAAGTGCTCCTCCACAGGCAGGGCCGTGACTTCATCCCCTGGCACCTCGCTTGGGGCCTCAGTAACAGTGCTTCCTAGAGGTGACCCAACGGGGGACTTACTTGGATCATCGGGGTCTGGCAGGATCCTCGTGACGGTCCGTTTGATTTCCCCCGAGGATGTCTTAATGGTTTTGATCCTGACTTTGGGAATTGCTGGTGGGGAGCTGGCAGCCACGGAGGGGGAGCCTTTGCTGCTGCTGTCACTGCAAATGCTCCGAGGGCTGTCTGATGGCTTGACGCTTTTCCTAGTGGCCTCCAGAGGGCTTCGGGGACTCTTTGGTGACTTGGGCATTTTGGGGCTGCCTTTGGGACCCTCTTTAGTAGGCCCTGAGGAATCCTTTGTGTGGCCAGGCGAATCCTCCTTGGTGACACTGGCCACTCTTTTGGCCTGCAGGGCCACCAAGGCTGCAACACAAGAGGACAGCTTGGAATGAGCCGGCTTGAGACGCTGCCTGGGGGGCACTGAGGAGCATGACCCAAGGTCTGGGGCAAGCCGCTTAGGCTCTGTAATGCTGTTGCTAGGGTGGCTGGTGAACTCCAAAGCTTCCCCGAAGAATCGCCGGGCATCCAGCTCTTTGTGAGGATCCACTGCCTTCTGCTCACCTCTATCCTGCTCCTGCTGGGATCCCAAGGACAGGGGTTCTGGCTTGGGTTCTTTCTTACAAAAGTGATCGAACATATGCAACTCCGGGACTGGAAACTTGGCCAGAGCCTCCAGGACTGGGCCCCCCACAGCCCCGCACCCAGGAGGTGGTGAGAAGTAACTGTCAGAGTGCTTGGGCTTTGTCCCAAACCCGTTATCTTTGATGGGGTCCTCAGGCTCTGGGCTGGAGATTGGACTAAACTGGTTGAAGGTGGGCAATGGCTCTGACTTGGAGGGCTCCAGCTTGCCAGGAAAACTCCTGGCACTGCCTCCATTCATGAAAGTGGACTCAAACTTCCCGCAGTTGTGGGAGTCGGGAGGCAGGTCTGAGCCCCGGAACCCATTGTGCAGGAGGCTGGGGGCAATGGGGTCTTTCTCCGCTTCAAACGACTCCTGGCGGCTGGTGTTCTTGACAATGACACTCACGGCCGGCACGTCTGGGGCTGATCCCGAGTGAGACAAGGACAGACTCTCATCCATACACATGCCTGGGGCTTTAAGAGGACTCTCATTCTCCTCGCTGGGTGTGTGGATGGCCTCCTTGGCATCAAGGCTGGTGGGGTCTGGGATGTCAAAGGCAGCCAGAAGATCATCAAAATCTGGGGTTTTCATATCCCCCATGGCTGCACAGTGGCAAGGGCTGTAACAGAAACAGAGAACAGACCTGTGACCACTGGGACACTCTGGGCTCCGTCTTTAACCATGCTCATCTCACACCATTACAGCACCATATACGTCAGACACCCCCATGCAGGGCCCCACACACTATGACAGGAAGTCCCATACCTGAGTTTTACCCCAGCAGATTTCTAAAACATAGATGGATACACCTGACGCAGCGGTTTAAGTCAGGGATTGGGATGCCCACATCCCATGTTGGAGTGTCTGGTCAAGTCCTGGCTATCTGCACTTCCAATCATCTTCCTGCTAATGTGCCTGGGAGGCAGCGGAGGAGGCCCAAGTACTTGGGTTCTGCCACCCACATGGGAGAACCAGATGGAGTTCCTGGCTCCTGGATTCACCCTGGCCCAGCCCTGGCTATTGCAGGCATTTAGAGAGTGAACTAGTAGGTGAAAAATATCCCTCTCTGACATAAAAAATGAAAATAAATTTTAAAACTTTAAATATACAGGGCCAGCACTGTGCTATAGTATGCTAAGCCTCTGCCTGGAGCACCAGCATCCTCTATGGGTGCCAGTTCAAGTCCTGGCTGCTCCTCTTCCGATTCAGCTCTCTAATGCACCTGGGAAAGCAGTGGAAGATGGCCCAGGTGCTTGGGCCCTTGCACCCACATGGAAGACCCAGAAGAAGTTCCTGTTCCTGGCTTTGAATTGGCCCAGCCCCAGCCATTGCGGCCATTTGGGGAGTGAACCAGCGGATGGAAGACCTCTCTCTCTGTCTGCAACTCTGCCTCTCAAAGAAATAAGTAAGTCTTTAAAATTTTTTTAAATGCTGTATATATAGGTAGGGGGAAACATGGGAGGAAAATGCATATGTAAGCCGATGTCGCGGCTCACTAGGCTAATCCTCCGCCTTGCGGCACCGGCACACCGGGTTCTAGTCCCGGTCAGGGCGCCAGATTCTGTCCCGGTTGCCCCTCTTCCAGGCCAGCTCTCTGCTGTGGCCCGGAAGTGCAGTGGAGGATGGCCCAAGTGCTTGGGCCCTGCACCCCATGGGAGACCAGGAGAAGCACCTGGCTCCTGCCATCGGATCAGTGTGGTGCGCCGGCCGCAGCACGCCAGCCGTGGTGGCCATTGTAGGGTGAACCAACGGCAAAAGGAAGACCTTTCTCTCTGTCTCTCTCTCTGTCTATTCTGCCTGTCAATAAATAAATAAATAAATGAAAATGCATATGTAGTGACAAGCATGAGTAGCAGGTCTTAAACCTCAATACCTGGAAACCCCAGGCTGCTGCACAGTCAGAAAGAGAGTGTACTCCCAGTATGCTCTCCTGATCTCTCAGGGAACATCACTCACCTTTGATCCTGTACACTGGAGAACCGCCCATCACTCCGTCTTTTTATTTATTTATTTTTAAGAATTGTTCAGCTCTTCTTTCCTTTAGAAAACTTCTGATTCATATGTGATACATGACTACAACTTCCTTTGCCAATTTACTCCCAGTAAGTAATCACCATCTTTATATAACATTTTCTTTTTTTTTTTTTTTGGGGGGGGGAGTGTTGGGAGTCACAGAAATTCAATCAAAACCAAAACAATTTGCTACTGCCAGAATCTGTCCACCTCATGAATAAACTCTAGAAAATCATATCATTCCCTAGGTAGTTTTGCCCTCTATGCAACAGATGTACTTCATTCCTTATTTCTCACCCTAAAATTGTTACTGATTGGTGAATTAAACCTAAGGAACAGGGTGATTCGCAAGGTACTGTACAGGTACCAAAGCAGTCAGGGGACAGTTCCAGGGAAGCCTGAGCTGTTTTAACTTAACATACAAACAGAAACCTACATTCTATACACACAAACAGAAACCTGCACTCTATACACACACACAGAAGCCTGCATTCTACTTTAACTTAATACTCCCGGTTCCCTTATGATCTGGGGAAGCAGAGTTACAGAGCTATTGTGACAGAGGAAACCTAAGGCCAAAGGGCAGCTGCACAAGGTCAGGTAAGTGGCAAACCCCTGGGTCCAGGCACCCATTTCACAAATTCATCCAAGAACAGAACTTCTCAAAAGTTATATGCAAAACTGTAATGCTACAGCATCATTAAAGCATCACTAAAGAGAAACATGGGCCAGCACTGCGGTGTAGCAGGCAGAGCCGCTGTCTGCAGCGCCGGAATCCCATATGGCTGCCATTTTGGGTCCCAGCTGCTCCATTTCCAATCCAGCTCCCTGCTAACGTGCCGGGGGGGGGGGGGGCAGCAGAGGATGGCCCAGGTCCTTGGGCCCCTGCACCCATGTGGGAGGCCCAGAAGAAGCTCCTGGCTCCTGGCTCCTGGCTTCAGATCAGCCCAGCTCCAGCCATTGCAGCCACCTGGGGAGTGACCCAGCAGATGGAAGATCTCATGCTAGCTTGCTCTCTCTCTGTACCTCTTTCAAATAAATAAAGAGGAGCATACACACGGAAAGAATCTAAATGGCCAAGAACAGGGAATGGTTAAATACCTAATGAGCTATTATGCTGTCAATAAAAACTGTAATTGTGAAATATACTCATTGGGCACATGGAACATGGAGCTCTGCTTAAAAGTTGAGTTTAAAAAATCTGGCCGGCGCCGCGGCTCACTAGGCTAATCCTCCGCCTAGCGGCGCCGGCACACCGGGTTCTAGTCCCGGTCGGGGCGCCGGATTCTGTCCCGGTTGCCCCTCTTCCAGGCCAGCCCTCTGCTGTGGCCAGGGAGTGCAGTGGAGGATGGCCCAGGTGCTTGGGCCCTGCACCCCATGGGAGACCAGGAAAAGCACCTGGCTCCTGGCTCCTGCCACCGGATCAGCGCGGTGCGCCGGCCGCAGCGCGCCGGCCGCGGCGGCCATTGGAGGGTGAACCAACGGCAAAGGAAGACCTTTCTCTCTGTCTCTCTCTCTCACTGTCCACTCTGCCTGTCAAAAACAAAACAAAACAACAACAACAACAACAAAAAAAAATCTAATATATGCATTTGAGCCAAGGAAAAGGAAAAACAATTGTGCATGGTGATGGGATGACTGGTAGTTATCTTTTTTCCAAAGTTTTTGGGCTGACAGATTGACGTTATAGTTTTCTCAAAATGCATATTTATCTATTTTCATCCATTTGAAAGGCAGGAAAAAAGGAAAGAGTCATCTTCTACCTGCTGGTTTACTCTCCAAATGTCTACAACAGCAGGTCTGTGCCAGGCCAAAGCTAGGAGCCTGGAACCCCATGCTGATCTCCCACATGGGTGGCAGGAGCCCAAGCATCTGGGCCATCCTCTGTTGCCTCCCAGGATGTGTTAGAAGGGAGCTGGATCAGAAGCGGAGCAGCTGGTACTCCAACTGAACAAATGATTGTCTCCTGCATTGAGAAGTGTTGAAACCCACAAACAGGAGGAGTCTCCTGAGATCAGCGCAAGCGCTGGGCAGCCTGATGCCCATGGATCGCTGTAAGGAAACACCTGCATGATGCTCACTTTGTACACTTATCCCCTTCCCTCCCTCCCCTCTTTCCACCTAGAGAGAAGGACAGAGGAGATTGGTCCCTTGAGGAGGTAGGAAAATCGTGTAAGAGAGGGGAGATGGAGGTAGTGTGTGCGAGGAGGAGCTGGGAGCCTGCTGCTGCCTCACAAAGTGGTCGGAGCTTGCAGCAGAGATATGATGTTAGATGAAAGTAATGCTGTCCTCATGGAGAAATCTCTGGGATGGCTGAGCACGGTCACAGGTGAAGTGAGTACACTGTGAATGGTGTGGCAGTTCAACAGCCGCAGCAGGAATAACCTTTCTTACGATTGCAACACCAAAGCCAGCAGCAGGAATAACCTTTCTTAACAACTGTAAACACCAAAGCTGAAGCTTTTGAAAGCCAAAGATCAGGACCTGTTTCTATTTAGTCCTGGTGAGGAAAATAAAAGACAACAGCCATCCGTAACAGTGGACAAGGCATGTACCATGTATGTTATTGTATTCCTTTGAACCTTGCTCTAAAGTATCACAGTTTACAAGGAGATGACAGGAATTAATGAAAATACCCTTTTAGAAAAACAAAAGAAAATATTCAAAAAAAGAAAAAGAAGAAAGAAAAGATAAGCAATTAAAAGTTGTTTTCATCAAAACCCTTGCCAGCATAAGGTTAAAAGGGAACCAAGAAAGTTTGGCACAGCAGAGTGAAGTCACCACTTGGGCCAACCACATCCCACACTGGGCTATCTGGAAAGGAGTCCGAGTCCTGGCTCTGTTTCGGAATCTGGCTTCCTACAAGTGCACCCTGAGAGGCAGCAGGTGGTGGCCCGAGCCCCTGGGTCCCAGACTCCTGGCTTCAGCCTGGCCCAGTTCATGCTGTTGCAGGTATATAGGTAGTGTACCTGAATACAGATCTCTGTCTCTGTCTCTCTACTTTTCAAATAAATAAAATTTCTAAAGTTTAGAAACAAGGGTGAGTAGAGGGAGGGCGGCAAATAACAAACCATAAGGAGTAACTGGAACCCACAGTACTGTCATTAACATGTTAATAGAAAGGTACTTCAAATGGGCAGGTTTCAACTGCACTGCTTGAGAAGCCCACATCCCATATGGAATCTGACGGCTTGGGTTCAAGAGCTTGGGCTCTGCTCCCAATTCTAGCTTCTTGCTAATGCACACCCTTGGAGGTAGTTGGGTCCCTCCCACCCACATGGGAGACCTGGATGAAATTCCCAGCACCCACCCAACCTCAGCCTCGTCCAGCCCCCGCTGTTGCAGGCATTTGGGAAGTGAACTAGTCTGTCTTTCTCACTCTCTGTCAAGTAAGTGTAATTTTGAAAAATTAATTAATTTTAAAAAATGAGGATCCAGTGTTGTGGCACAGCAGATAAAGCTACCACCTACAATGCCAGCATCCCATATGTGCACCTGTTCGAGTCCCAGCTGCTCCACTTCTGATCCAACTCTCTGCTACAGCCTGGAAAAGCAGCAGAAGATGGCCCAACTCCTTGGGCCCCTGCACCCATGTGGAAGTCCTGG